TAGGTATAATTGAGGTCCAAAGTGAAAAATATCACAGTCAAATTACTGCATGGAATATACTTTTTCAGAGATAATGTGCTTTTGATTCCCTTGCAGAGTTTTTCTTAATGTCTCTTTTTGAATTCTATAGCTGTAGAATAATCTTATCAATAAGTTTGACAATAAGGATAAATAATGCATTAACATTTTAGTAATATCTATTAAAACAAAAACAAACCTCCAAACTGTGATAGCAAATGCAGTGCTGTCTGGATATTATTTCAGATACTTTTGAGGAAAAAAAGAAAAAAAATTCCTGTTTTGGGGGTGTAATGACATTAGGCAAAACCTTGAGGAGACCAGGCCAAGTGGTGTGCGTTGTTTTTACATCAGTCCTACATCAGGCTGCTTGTTGTGAGGAGTAACAACCTTGGGGACAGCATGTTTGTAGCCTGGGTTTCTCTCTCCATAAGGCAGTTTGGGTAAAGCCTTTGAGCCACCTGTAGCAAGTGGTAAGAAAATCCAGGAGGTGAAAATGAGCTGCTGAATTTCATTAAGTGAATGTTATCGATGAGGACTTGTCACATCAGGAAGTGCTGGGGAAAAGGAGGATTTAAGGCTGAATAAATGACTGCTGGTGAGCCACTTCAGTATCCTGGGGGTTGTCTTGGCCTGGGCTAACTTACCAGAGTCAGTACGAAAAACTTGTTATTGTTGGATATACTACAAAATAAAATCTGGACCCAAATAATTTGAAGTTGGAGAAACAATTTTGCTTCTTAGTGCTGATATGGAGTTTAAGAAAAGATCTGCCATGCCAGGTTTAGGTAAGGACAGAATTATCATCAGTACATCCCTAAAATTTCAGATTTTCTCAAACAATTTTTGTATGATCATTGAGTAATTTTGTTGTAATAGTTACCATATTTCAATTTATATAGAAAAATATTGTGTACTGGGATGGCAAAAGCTGAAGGAAGGTTTGGACAAATGGTCCAGATGTAAATTGTCAATTTCCATATATAAATTGTTGTGTATCATAGATGATTAAACATCGAAAACTCATTATCAGAGGAAGAACAGCTGTGTATAAAACCCATGTACATGTACTTTACCACTAGAAGTAGTAAAGTTTGAGCCAGGATTCAAATCCTGATTATAAAAGAAGAAAACTCCAAAAAACCTAGACTGACAGAAGTGAATGCAGTGGTAAAATTACTCTTAACAAGAATTTGCTATCCAAACATTTTGATTTAGTTAGAAGTTGACAAACTTCTGTTTTTCTGTGAATCACCATGGACCCTTCCATGAACTCATGTGGCCTGTGGAAGCCTGAGCAGGATTCAGCAGCACTGAAAAAACACCATCCCTCTTCCTATGATTTCTGAGGGATTCTTTCAAAACTAATAATAAATGTTAGTAATTGTTTCTTGCTCTATTTCAAATCTGATTTTAATTTCTTCTATTTAAAATACTAATTTTGTCCCATGAGAGTGCAGAGGTGCAGGGTAGAATCATGCCCCATATGAGCACAATTCTTTTGAGTGGGATAATGATGGTGGCTGTTACAGAAAAATGTGTTCTGCCTCATGATGCATAAAATGTACTTGCACTCTTCATTCTTGAACCAGGTATTGTCAGTGCCACCTGCAGGAGGAAAGAAACAACTAATATTATTAGTATTAATGGCATTATTAATGATTATATATTTATTATATAATAAATTCTATACAATCATATAAAATGTCTTTATAATACAGTAATTATATAATTTAGTCATATTAACAAACAGTGATGCATCTGAACAGTTGTCCATTAAGGCCCAATTCATCTGCAGCATTCAAACAAAAAATTCATGTCAGCAGGTAAAAATTTATGCATGCTGTGTTATATTTCTGTATATAATATAAAATTACCATGGAAGAGATGGCATTAAATGCTGCAATAAAAAAAAAGAGAAATCCAGTGAAAGAAGTGCAAATAGTCCAAATTGATAAATGCTTAGTTTAAGAAAAAAAAAAGGTCTTCAAATTGCAGAACTGGTACTAACACAGCAAATGGGAGTCCTATGTGGTTAAGAGGAAAGAGAGCTAGGAAATACCCAATATAAATAAAAGTAATTTAAATTTAAACTTTAGGTACTAAGAGGAAACTGTTTGGGGACTGGAGCGTATTTTTTCATGATAATCAGAAAATGTAGTCAACTGATTAACTTTTGTCCTCATGATATGTTGAAAAATGTAGAAAACTCAATTTTTGTAAGCTCTAGAGTCTTAAGTAATTAAAAACCATGTTAGACCTTTCCAGTACCCCTTAAAAGTTAAAGTATAATATTGAATTCAAGAACTTCAGAACTGAATCTATTAGAGAGTAGCAGCAATGTATTTTAGAGGCATTCCTGTCAATAATTGAAGAGAATTAAAGGGTTTTTTAAATGGCCTGTTTCCTAGTTAACTTCCTCTAGATGCTGCTGGGTATCTTAGCTTGTTTCCTATATCCCTAATAAGACAAATGCATGCTATACCTTGCTTTTCCGTATGTTTGATGTATACAACATTGACATGATTGACACATCATCATCCATAGCAATGAACTTTCTAATTTCAGCTCTTGTACACTGTTCAGATGGCAGTCTGTAACCAAATTATCTTTTTTTACTTTCTCTTTAGATAATTTTAAACTTATGAATATTGCTCTGTGAGATGTTTCCTAGAGACTAATTTAAATTTTTTACAAATTCAAAAGTCTTTGCTTTGGTGGACTTTTTATTGTTACATAAAAGATTTTCAATTTGTTTTGCAAGTTTGTCAGATTATTGCTATAAGGTCTTTTTGTTTTTTTTCAGTTTAGTGCTAAATTACTTCTCTTGCTTCTGGTTGATTTTGTGGTTTTTATCCTTGTTAATCAGCTATTTGAACTCTGTTTCCAGGGCGTTTTTGAAGAAGGCTTAACTATTATGTCAAGGGTCTACTCATTGGCCTCATGCCCTTCATGTTTATGGATCAGTGATGAATCTCCTGGTACCTTTGAATAACAACCTGTAAACCCACACCTGGTTTTGGATTCCACCTTGTGAACTGAAGGCTGTGAGGAAATGCATTTGGGGTCGGGTTGGAGCTCATTACAGCTAATTACGAGATGCTGAGAAACAAAATTCTCCAAAGACTTGGGGGAATAATGTTATAGCTTTGCTTTCTCTCAGGCCAGGCTCTTACAAAACAATGGTCACTTCTAAACTTCAGATGGATGTTAAAAATACCACACAACCTTCCAAAAAATTAAAGTTATGGATGCTCCATGGATTCATTCACAAATTAAGAAATCTGTAGTGGCAAAATCAAATGCATCTTTTTCAGTGGGTGAGAAGTGGTGATTTTATTGGGGCTTTTTGTCTACTGTAGTGCTGGTATATGGAAAAGTAGCAAAACCACTTAGTTGCACTGAATTTGATGTATGCAAGTCTTCCAACATAATCTATTCCTGTGATATTTTTGCTCTGCAGCTTTGATCACTACTTGAGATTAGGGCTGTAGCTTCTTTTTGGGAAAAAAGTCTCCTTAAAATTGATTATGTTTTGGTTTAAGTCTAGCAAAGTCAGTTTCAGATAGGCTCTCCAAGTAATTGTTTTTCTTATGTTTTTCTATGGAGTAGATTCCCATATCTTTAAAATTCTTAAACCACCTTATTGGGGATGTGAAAGAATGGCTTTCTTCTTCTTTGGCATAGTTTTTTTCACAAAACAAAAGTCAAAACTTTTGTATATTCTTACTTTTCAGTATTTCTTTGCAAATAGCATTTTGTCCTGGAACAGGCTCCCCAGGGAAGCGGTCACAGGGCCAAGACTGCCTGAGTTCAAGAAGTATTTGGACAATGCTCTCAGGAACATGGTGTGACTTCTTGGAGCATCCTTTGTAGGATTAGGAGTTGGACTTGATGATCCCTGTGGGTCCATTCCACCTCAGGATACTTCATGATTCTCTGAAATCTTTTTTGTCCTTTTCCTCCTCTGCAGAATACAATTCATTGCATCTATGTAGGATATCCATCACACATCTGTAGATGACTTACTGATACATCCTAGGATATTTTTAGAGCAATTAGCTTTGTACTTCACTGAATTACCCTTTTTTTCAATCCTGCGATCAGCAAAGTCTTAAAATTTTGCTGCTATCTGCAGCACTAGGGGGCAAATCTAACATTACCACCAATATCCTTTTCCACTTCAAAAAATTTAGAAAATGGGTATGCTTACAGAGCTGTAAAATACTCAGATCTGCTCAATTTCACTTTGCTTTCACCCTAGAAGGCAGATTTCCTGTCAGAGCTCCCAGACTGCAAAGTTAAGCTCCAATTAGAAGATATGCTTATATAGTAATGCAATTATCTTGAATATTTCCAACAGTAAGTTCCAATTTCTGGTGCACAGGAGGATATTTCTTGCTGTAGGTGTATTGATTTTTCTAAATTTTCAGGTATATTAATGTTTAACAGGTAATGCTCCTTTGATTCTTCAAAAGGAAGTCTGAACTATCAGAAATGTCTGTGTAATATGGCCAGCACACACAGCTCAGTTCTTTTCTGAATGACATGAACTCATAAATAAGTTGTGGTTTAGACACACCAAGTCTTTGGTGGTATGCTGTGGACATCACAGAACAAACCTGAACACAGAAACTGTCACATGCTCCAGTAGTGCTGTCTTAGTTGACTCCTTGTAGTGCTGATGACTTTTTTCCCAGTTGCCACCTCTTTTTAGAGACTCATTTTAAAGAATATATTCCATAAGTTGTTTATTGATGGTGTAGTGCAAAACTGGAATGTGGTGCAGCAGTATGTATTTACTTGATTGCAACATAAAAGGATAATTTAAATTATCATCAGTGTAAGCAGTTTTACAAGAATGATATCTCAAATAACTGCCCATGTTTTACAACATGATGAAGAAAGGTATTTCTTTGTTATAAAGAAAACTTTAAGGTATTTATGAAGCTTTATTCTGTGTGCCCCAAGAATGTGAAAGATAATCCTCTTTAATTAAGGTTTGACCTTAATTCCAATTGTGTTGGACTTTGAAATTATAAAAAACTTTAGAAATTATCAGAGTCTGTGAATACAGTCTATGTGTTCAACTTAAGTAAAGATCTTTGTTTTACCTTAAGGCAGGTGCCAACCTTCTGCTTTAGAATAAGACAGGTCAGAGAGAATAATTTTCCTGCCATTCTCCAATACTATCTCTCTATTCTCAACATCCTGATCTAAGTTCTGCCAGCTTGCTTCCGGTCGCGTGCAGGTTAAACAAACAGGAATATGGTGGCTGACTCAAAGTCCTGGAGGTGGCTGGGATGATGGGCAGGTACAAACAGCCAGGCTGTCCTGGGAGAAGGAGGAGTAGTTGCCTAAAGGTAGGCCAAAAGGTGTTCTCAGGGGGTCCCATGCTGTTTCAAGAGCTGGAATTATTAATAAGGAGTCATGGCACTCAATACCAAGCAATGTGCAAGGTGTAACATGTAGATCCTGAGGTCAGTAAGCAGCTAGATCACCTCTTCAGAGACATGCCCCAAGTAATTAACAATGGGAGGAATCCATTCATCCACCATTCAAGCTTCATTAATAATATGTGTGGAAATAGGACTTGCTGCTTTACATAATGCAGGACTAAAAATTGTTGGAAATCCTGCTCTAAAAAAAAGGCTAGAATAAGGAGGTCAGGTCTCTACTGATCTGAATGAGGCATCATTGAAATTAGGTCTTAAAACAATAAAAGGAGGAGGTCAGGTCTCTACTGTTCTTATTTTAAGAACAGTAGGAAAATATTGCTGGCTAAAGAAAAGTTATCAATAGAGATAGGAAGGGAAGAAGGCACTTAAGCCCATTTCTCAGTGGTATTTAAATATCTAGTTCTCACTAGCATTCTGTGAGCGTTATGCACTAATATAAAATACCACAGAGGATATGGACAATATTTTTCAAATTAGATTTTTTATATTCCTTCTTCCTGAGACTGTAGAATGTAATTTCTTTTTAACTTTATCCTCAGTCTATAGCACCCAGAAGACTAATATTTTCTCATGCTTTTATATGCTTCTGGACAAGCTGAAAAGCACCTCAGAATTATGCCCAAACTTCTTTTTTCAGATAGGAAACTGCTACATGTTACAGATTATTTTTCAATAACAGAACAATTTCCACACAAATTCAACCCTTTTATAGGAAGATTATAGCAACTAGTATAGTGAATACCTCTAAATGATTTCGTTTTATCTGTTTTTCTACTCCCTTCATAATGTGACTTATTTTAAAAAAGTATTTGGTTTTATGAGAGAGGCAAAAAAAGGATTGCGCTAATGCATTTTTGAAAAGCACAATAAAAATACATTCACATTTGTCTTCAGGAAATAAGTGATGCTGAAACCCTTTCACAGAAGATTTAAGGTTTGATTTTTGTCTTGAGCCTCCATTCTTTGTGGGGTATTCTGGAATCAGAAAAATAATAATGTGACAGATTGTGAGGGCCTGTAATCAACAGGTCAGAAAGCCACCTGTAATAACAGGGTTTAGAGTTGACATAAACATTATTTTGTCAAGTGCAGAGAACTTTGAGAGAAGAATCCAGCTTGATATTTTTTATTATTACTGATCTTTCGTTAACCCATAGAAAGAGTTCTTACAATTTTAAAAGCTGAAAGAAACAGCAAATAATTTTTGTTGTACTTGAATGGACTGCCTATAATAACCAAATTACCCTTAGCAAATTTCACTAATTTTACCTCAATATTCATTTTAATAGCAAAAGTTAACAGACTTGGCTAATTGTTGACAGTGCTTTTCTTGATTTTTTTTTTCACTGTATTCTTCTGTTCCTATATATTTCACACTTGATTGGAGCAAAGGCTCAGATTATGAATATTAAAAATTGCTCTGGATTATCACCTTCCAATAGCAACTTGCTGGAGTTGACCAGGGGAAACAAAAGTATCTATGAGGTGGCTTTTATTTATTTGCATCCTAAAACATAATCTGTATTTGGATGAACCAGTCAGTTTGTAGCAGAATGGGCAATGATTGTAAGAGTTTTCAATACAAACGAAGCTGAAATTAGGGGGCCACTGAGTTTTCATGCATGCAAATAAATGACAATGATACATGTAATGTTTAATCACACATGATGATAAATTAACAAGATAAAGATTTGAAGATATAAAATCTTTCCTATATTCAGTACTGTATTCAGTACACAAATGGATAATTTCTCTGCACACACAAAATCTTCCATTGCTTTTTCTCAGTGGAAGAGTGGGGAAGGGAATGTTAGTGAAACAAACTTCAAGCTGATTACAGCTGATTATAGGGTATTGAGAAGGTCATGAGGAAGTTCTTTTGAATTCTCAGCAATGTTCTGAATCTGTTAATTCCTCCCTCTCCCCCTCTCACATACATACGTATTCACTATTCATACCCAGAATTCACTGTCTGATATGACTGAATTTTTAATTAACCTTTTGCCCTTTTCCCATTGCTTTCTCTCTTCAGGGAAGACTTCTTGAAGCTTCTTCTGGTCAGGATAGAAGACCAGACATGCACATGTCCAAATAATAGACAAAAAGCAAAAGCACTTACCACATATATTGGTTAATTTAGCTTGATTCTGTTTATGTGGGAGAAATGAATATCTGGCCCTAAATTCTATGAATATTTCTATGTAAAACTGAGTTATGGTATATATTTAATGAAAAAATAAATGTTGGGTCCATTTTATTCTCCACAAAAAAAGTTATGGTAGTTAAAATTCTTAAAGAGGCATCAGTTTGTTGTGCTGTTTATTCTCTAACAGAAACTAATGACAATGAAGTCATCAACCCCACATAAAATCCCTCAGGCACAGTCTTTGTCATTTGTTATTACTTCCTCTAATGCTTTGCAATGAGTGATGAAATGGTTTGAAAGAACACAAAAGAGGGCTCTGAATTATCTAAAACTGTCTAATATAGTTGTGGCTTGGTATTTAAAATTATCTCTTGACTCACTGGAGGCATTAAATGGGGTGCAAATGCATTTCATGTGCCTATAATTCTCATCAAGAAAATGTTAGAAGTAAATCAGGGATGGTTTGGTAAGTGTTTGGGAGTCTGAAGGATTAAGGAGAAGATATTTTCTTGCATTATTTATGAAGTGTGAAATTGGGGAGAAAATCTTACTCTGCAAGAAGGAATTTCATAGAGTATTTTTAAATTGCAGTAAGAACGTGGTTTTGGAATGAAATGCTGATGCTCCTCAGGAGATTCTTTTTTAATGGAAAGAGTATGTTTTTACAGATCTGTTTTGTTTTTGTTCTTAATTGATTTAATTACATACAGATTTTATGTTCTGTTCCACAGAGTAAATTTCTCAAGGCCTCTGATAGCTGAGTGGAATGACTACTATGTGGCATGAAGAAATAGGCATGTTACATTTTCCATCTGTTGATTTGCAAGTAAGATCATGAAAGAAATGCATCTTTTTTAGCAGCATGCTTCTTAAAATCTGGGTCCCCTCACTGTACTTTTCAAGTGCACGTTTTCAATTCCTTTTTCAGTTCAATAGACCCTGCCCTCAAGCAAAAGCAACTGAACCAGCAAACCTCTCAATTACTGTGCCAGTTGAACCCCAGTTTTTTCCACAGATTTGCCAAGGCGTCTGCAGCATGGGTCACAGTTGATATAAGACTCTTGTGTCATGCTTCTTCTCAGCAGGGAGCCATGATTTTGTTTAAAGCTGCGAAACCACTCAGGTTGCCCCTCTGCTGAATCTTAAAATCAAAGAAGAATGCAGGTGGTGTGTGTGCAGGTGGGATGTAGAAAATAGTGAAAAACACAAGGCTAAAGTTCTGAGGGTGCTTTCTTGTACACAGCCCTCAATAACAGGTAGTGTTTCTTCAAATACAGTATTCAATTTTAGATAAAAAATAAAGATGAATTGATTTAATCTATTTATTCACATTCTGAAGATTGTCATGAATATATAGTTCAGACATCACACCAAAATGGGCTGCAACGAAAAAATAGCAATCAAGAATTTGCTTGCCTTATCTTGTCAAATCTCTCCTTCATTCTGAAGTTTAAAAAAAAAAGGTTATGACTTAGGATTTGATTTTGGCATCTGCTTCCTGTACCTTCTCACATTTTGTTCTTTCTGGAAAGTAGTATATTATATATGTATTAAAAAATATTTCAAGGTGATTCATATTTTCATGTATTATTGAATTTTTTCTTCCAGTGGTATCTAGTATTTTTGCTGGGAAATACATAGTTTTAGTAGACTGGGTATTACTTTAGTACTTTTAATCAGAATTTTTTGCCAATTAATATTGGTCTCCTCAGATTCCCAAGCAGTAATTTCTGTTGATGGGAAAATCTGTTGAAGCCTAGATTCTAATTTCAGCAACAGTTGTAAAAATGGTGTCATAGCATAGAGGTAAAGCAAGGAAGCTGAAGGATGGAAATTTAAGATTTGATATGATATTATAAAAATTGCAATAGCACCTTTCATACGTGTCACAGCATAGTGCTTCTTTCCCTTTTTCTGTGCTGTCACCTCTAAAAAAGTGACATTTATTACTGAGCACCACAGCTTAGGAAATAGCATAGTTCACTGGGGGGTTTTGTACTTTCTTTCTTCTCTTAATTTTTATTGAAGTAATTTTCTTTTGCTGGCCTATAAAACTTGCACAAATCCAAGTAACAGGGGCAAAACAAAAGTACTTATTTGCATTGTCACAAACTTGGAGACCTCCCTTACCCAAAGAAGTGATAAGAGATTGGATCTTTTTGGATGGCAAAGCAATTTGTTGAGGAAATTATGTGATAATATTTACACTGACAGATTGCTTCCTGAAGAGCCAAGGGACTGCAGAATCCCTCATGTACTCAGGTGTCATGTATTTCCCAGCTTAAAACCAGGTTTTCCTGGATTTAAAAATGACTGCTGACAGAGATGTGGAGCAATTTGTTTTGGCAAGGCACAGCAGTCACCAGTTTATTTACTACTGGAGCTAATAAATGTAAATTTATTTTATGACAAGGAAAGGAACCCTCTAGCTAAAAAAAATATGTGACACTGCTTGTTTTGTAACTGAGGTGAGAAATAGTTTTGCAATGTATATACCACAACTATTTTGAATTCTTCTGAATTATTTTCAACCATTTCAGAAAATATGGACTCTTACAGAAGAAGGTTGGGACCCTTTTAAAATGAGATGATATCTGCCAGGTGGCATGACACACTGGAATTCTGTACAGAGAAGGGAATTTTAAGGAATTGATAGGAAAGTTTATATATATATATATATATATATATATATATATATATATATATAAATTTAATTTATTTTATTTTTCTGCCTACTGTTTTGATCTTTTTACCATTGCAGTATGTATCCAGATAGAGTTAGTATTAAATATGATGTTTAAAAAAATTACTTTGAAGTTGCAGTTATTATAAGCTATTAATGAAACTCTAAGCACAGATATGTAGATCCATGGAAATATGGACAAGTACCTGAATACTCACTCAGATGAAATAGCAAAGTGCGATGATATGAATTATCATATGAATATTGTTTTTGTATTTTTCTGTCAGATAATATTTCCAGGTCACCATCTATATGAGGTCTGCAAAATATTGCCAGTTATGCCTTATTTTCTTAGTGTAAAATAATCTTAATCTGTCATCTAGCAGGGCTGTTCAGGAAAACTTTCCAAATGACAAATATTTAAATGACTTTATAACTTGTTCATTTTAAATACTGGGGTTATTTACCCCACTTCTCAAGCTATAGGATTCAATACTTGTAAGGTTTAGACAACCCTTGGAGAATTCTAAGATTGCAAATTCTTCATGAAAATGTATGCTGTTATCTGTATTAGTGCTTAATTAAATGATGATTTGTTAATAGAAGAAAATTATTAATGCCTTCTCAGAGGACTGAAAATGTGCTCTATCCAGTTATTCTGAATTTAGTCACTATAGGTGATGTCAGTATAAAAATCAGCACTCCTAAATGGATTTTCATTACTTGGGCAAAATTGAAAAACTGTAATTATACTTTTTAATAGTAATGCAATAGACATATGTTAATTTTATGTAGATAAAAACCTTTGTGAATCTTGGATGTCTTATCCTGCAGCCTTACCAGAATCATGCAAAAATAAAGAAAGGGAACACATTTTCTTTTTAATAACATAATATTGGAGCATCTTTCCCTTTACTCCTACATACATTTAAGCTCAGGGTGGTAACACCTCAGATCCATGCAGTCCAAATGACATCCTAAGACTCAAATGTTGTGTTTGTTGGTGAAAAGTTGCCTTCCATCTGGAGTAGAACTTACCTTGAGAACAAAGCAGCTTCAGTGGCATTTTGGTTTTGAAAGTTCCAGTTCCAGTGTGGAAAACCTTTTGAGTTGTGTGGGAGCTGGCCACCAAGGAATGATTGTGTAGGGTTTCGTGGTGCCCTTCCCTGGGTTGCTGCCCACTGACCTAGACACATTTGCTGTCTGTGTGTCCGTCCTGCAAAAAGCAGTAAATTGCCTTGTCTAGGAACAGACACAAGCATTCTCCAAGCCTGCTGAGGTCTGGGATGCTGTGGTGGAAGCTCTTGAAGGCAGGCCAGAAGAGCTCTAGTCTGTTCTTTTAGTATGGCTAATGGGAGGTATTTGATGCAGCATTTCTTAAATTCAGCTTTGCTGGGCCCCTTAGGAATCTTCCCACTCAGATTCAACCTGACCTATACAGTTCATTAAATATGACGATATGAAAATGTACTGTGATACTGGCTTACCTTCCATGACCTAAATACTTAGCCTCGTGATTTAGTATGAACACAACCTAATTCAGGGTATGCCCCAAAACCCCTTAGCACTGCCAAGGTCTGTTTACCTGACCATGAACATATCTGAGAGTCAAATGTTATACCTGTCATACCTATTTCAGTTTCAGATGAAAAAAAAAATTCTTGACATTAGCAAGAAGATAATACCTTTCATTGAGCTTGCTAAAGAATCTCTGTAAAATTAATGAATTAGAAGAAACCTTTGGAGAGGTCTAAGAATTTTTTAAATCAACTGCCGTCTTAATTTTTAGTATGTGAAAATGAACTAGTCTGCTTTTAGATACCAATGATCGTTTTGTACCTTGATTTCTCTCTTTTATCTGCTCATATTCAAAATATCATTTTTCTAATTTTTTTAGACTGTAGTTTTTTCTTTCCCAGATAGTTTTTGGTGAACCATTTTGTAAGACATGCTGTGTTTGTGAGGGGAAAGTATTAGAAGTGATTTTTTTTTCATTGTGGTTAAAGACATGACTGATTTTTTCCATAAGATTCATATTTTCCAGATCAAAACAGACGGATTATCAAAGTATCAACAGCATCAAGAAAAGGTTCTGCTCAGTTTACCTCAGCTAGAAATGCTGCTAGATACTATCATTACTATGATTTATGAAGTATTTGACATTTCCTTTACAGCAGTTTCATAGCTTTAGCTGTTACAGATCCGACAGACAAAGTCTGCAAATGTACACTGAGGCTTAGTTCTGACTATCTCAAAGTCTTCATTTTAAGAGTGATTATGCAATGGTTTTTTAATGTGGGTTAATTCATACAACGGCACAGAAAATAAATTTCAATATATGTGCAAAAAGCCTGCTTTAGTACTGTTTATGGAAGTATAAGAGCTATTTTAAAATGAAATTCAATGTCATAAGGAGGGAGGAGAAGGGAAAAAAATGTTAATATGAACACCTCATGGCTAAAAAGAATAATATTATGAATAAATATTGTGAAATATTTATAATTCAAAAATCATGGGAACTTTTCACTTGAAAACAAATCTAATAAAGCTCCCAACTCTCAATTTATGAAAAATCAGTGGGATTGGAATTTAAAGGTAGTGAAACCATATTAAGGATCAGTATTCCCTTCCTGCAACTTTTAAATATGCCTGTTTGAGGGCTGCCTCCATCCTCAGTTTATGTGTGCAACACAATGTTTATTTTTTTCCCCTCAGGTCATCACTGAAATGGGGAATCTAATTTCACTGGAAGATGTTCTGAGACTTCAATACTATGAAACGGATATATGTGTTATCATGGGACTTCTACCATGGCCCCAAGGCAGATTTCTGAAAGGTTTCTATTGCATATTCTACTCTTGCTTCAGGTTTGGAATTCCTAGGAATCTGCACACTTGATCACAGAAGACCCTTTGCCCTAAATGTTGTGTTTCTGAATTCAAGTAAATAATGGTTAAAGGAGACTAAAATTGAAAGTTAATTTAATTCAATACAACAGCAGACTATATAGACTGTCAAATTTCTCTGTCACTGTTGCAATGTTTTACTCAAGCTGAACCACGTGCATTTGAGACACAGATTTATGTCAATTAAAATTTATTCCAAAACAGGTGTGAGAAACACCAAGGGAAGATTAAATAAATGTGCAAGTAAGTTTCTAGGTGTTCTTGTTGGGATCCCTTTGGTCTCTCTCTCCCTTTCTCTCTTTTTCTTTCATTTTCTTTCTTGCTCTTGCTCCCTTCTCTAGATCTGTGCTGATTGCTTAATTGCAATATCAAGCAGAAACTCAAGGAACTGGAAATTGGTGGGAAATAATTAATACAATCTTAAATATTTCTATACTTTTATTCCTAGGAAATCAAGTTTGCAATCAAAACTGGATAAAAGATTTTTAACACAGTGAAAATGTCATGGGGCTCTAAAATGGGTCTGCAGATGTAGAGGGTATTAAGATTGCAGTGACCAACCAATTACTTTTGAAATTACTATTATTAGTATTCTTTTAGTATTCTTCAATTTCTATTTCTTTGGGTGAATTGCTCTGAGACTTGTGTTTTAGTTGTGATGAAGTCTTTACCTTGAAATTTTTCAGCAAAAGTATTAGTGATACGACAGCATTAATATATAATACAGCAATAACTGGGTTAAACTATATTGGTAGGTTAGATATTGGATGAGTTCAGGAGTGATAGGTGCTGTTGTGTCTTGACAAGCAGTACTTGAATGGTTTTTTTATCAAAGATATTTTTTTTGTGGTTTTCACTTGAAGCTGAAATGTTGAATATCACCTCTCTCTATTAATGCAGTTTTCTTCCTCAGTAAGTAATTGAGTGGGCAGATATGAATGTAGCATAGATAAAACAAAAGACTCTGGTTTTAAAGAGACTCAAATTTAAAATTATATCAACTTTAAAATCATATTGTAATTACAGCAATGGTCTAGGTGATGAGGACTCAAGCTGTGTGTGTAGCAGTCACTTTGAAGGCTCTGGTACCTCATCTGTACTCCTTTTAGGATCCAATCTAGGATGGTTAAAGTTAGCTTGGAATTGCATGTAATAAAGATTTGCATCTTTGGAACATACCCCAAATATTAACTTCAACTTTTGGTATTCAGTTTTCAGCATGGGAGAAACAGACTACATAGAAGTTCTGTTTTTCTCCAAGAAACTGTCAAGAATTCAAAATACTCAAACCAGATTTTTTTTTAAACTCTGTAAAACAATGTCCTGTTAGGTGATGATCTTTAAAATTTAATCTGGCTTTTTTTTTTTTTTGTTTAGGGCACTAATATTTTTCAGCAGTGAAACTTATACTGCTCAGTATATATGTATTTACAGAGCTACAAATAATGAGAAGATACAGAGATTAAAAAAAATACTTCTATATGTCACAGCTAGGAAATATCTTTGAAAACGTAGGAAGTAGGTTGCATTTTTCATTCTATGGAGCCTTTTATAGATTCTGGCACAATAAATGAGCAAGGTCATGCAGTCAAACAGAAGTCAAAATAAAATTTTAGATAACAAGCATGAGAGTTTGGATGCAACAGATAAATTTTGAAAGGCAAAATTTTGACATATAGCAACAATATTCGAAAATTTCTTGAGCATTATAAAATTTGTAAAGTACTAAGCTAAGTCATTAGCAATAACTTAAAATGTCACAGTGTTTATCACCAGTAGCCTATTAAAGAATATTCCAACTAATACAGCTCTTTCATAACTGACTGCTCTAGAAACTTGTATTTGATTTTGCATAGCAATATAACCTGTTTTACTCTTCTTCCCCATATTTTTCATACAGGTTCTTAACCAAAACTGAAGTAATTTTCATAGGTTCAGGCTCCTCCCAGTGGTGAAACTTTTCCAGTGCCTATTCAAACTGAGACACTTAGCTCTGCTTGTAATGTGTTTTCAGACTGCAGTTAAACATCTACCTAAATATCAATATCATTATGTGATTGAAAATTCAATAATGCAAAGTTCCCTTTAAAATTCTTGTGATTATTTCTAACTTATGCAGATGTAATAAAAGACTTAAGGCAGATTATATCTTTATTTGTTTAGATAGAACTCACAATTGATAATTGCAGAGCTCTGTTGCTATAGTTACAATTAAATGAGACTGAAAGCAACCTGTCAAAGACCAATTTACTGCAATCCTGGCTGTTGTAATTCTACACTTAAAAACCAACAATGAATTTTGAAGTTATGACATCCTAGAGAAAAATATCAAGTCTTAAGTCCTCTAAATGTTTAAGAAATTGAACAATTCTTGAGGGACTGAGTGTAAAAAATATTTTTATGGTCCAAACAAAAGGAAAAGTAATACTTTGTCCTCTGCCTTCTTAATTTGAGCAAGTAGTTACTGAGGTTCAGACTTGTAATTATGCTGCAGAATTGGAGGTAAATTCAGGTTCTCTTTGATCCTGTTTAAGTCATGTCACTAACCCTTGGCTTCAGAAGCACTGCAGACTGTCTGGGTAGGACTTCTAACTGTGTTTAGAAATGACATGTAGTAATGCTGGCCAAAAATCTCAGTTTCTGTCTCCTTAGAACTTGATAGTCTTGTGTTTTGATGTGACAAATATTGTGCTTTTGTCCCTCAATGATCTGAAGAGCATCTAGATGTGCTGTCAGTGGAGTACAACTCAGTTGAGTCCAAAGCTCGCAATTATTTGATTCTGTACCGCGTTACAGCCTTCCAGTGTATTTTGTGACTAGGAGAGAATGTTGGCAGGGTGAGTAGAATGCTGAAAATTAATAAGCTCTAACTCACAAGCCTCATTATGAGGTTTTGGTTTTATTGTTTTTTTAGCTATCATTGGAAAGAATAAACAGTATCATTGGGAACAAGTTGGTTGTATGTCATCACAAACCAGCACATGCCTTTCTTTTCTTTCCTTTTATGTAGCACAATTTAAAGTTTTCTTCCTTCCTTTCAGAGGAGAACATCAGCCTGCTGCTTTCATCCTCCTCACTTTTCAGCCCCCCGACCTACACCCTTGTGTGATAGTCCCACTTTATTTTCTCATTCTTTTCCCCGTTTACCTGGTGCCCGCCTGCATTCACCTTGCCAAGACTGACATTGCCTGTCTTGCTTTGCTTCTGCACTTGTTACCTATGGCATTGTTAGAGCAGGCACTGTGGAAGGAACTGCCTGGGGAAGGACTAAAGGAGTTATCTGGCTCTCAGAAATGGCCAGATTCTTTCTGTTGAAAGAATCATCTGAAGTTGTTTACAGTCAGAATACTGAGAAAAAATACAGCTTTCATTAAGTTTGAATATGTTCCAAAAAGTCCAAAACTGGGGTAAAAAAGCTGTATCTACAAAATACCAGCAGCCTCTATTAATGACTTAGGATGAATGTTCCAATATTTTGTCTCTGAAGCACAAAAAGTGGCCAGGAACTTTTGATTGCAAAGCACTGGAATATTTCAAGCAATGTCTTTTTTGAGCACTAGCTTCTTGTTGATATATTTGAATGGAAAAAAGATTTATGCAAAAGTTGTGATATTGTTTCAGGAGAAAGATATCTGACTATAAACACTGCTGTCAGGCTGCTTGAATACTTACCAAACCTTCTGAAGTAGGGCAATAATAATGAAAAGTAGCCAAGTACAGCTTGTGCAGATCAAGATTATAGCAATTCTTTGTTTAGTTAACTTTTGCACAGAATTGTCGGTTCTATAAAAAGATAGCTGCACGAGTTAGAAAAAGAAGAAAACGTAGAACAACAAATAAGGGATTTGGAATATTTACATTTCTAATGAGAACAGCTAAGTTGTACTAAACAAAAGAAGGGAAAGAAGTCAGGTAAATGCTAATTATTTTTATAGGCTTTTTTCTGACCCAGAAGTGCTGAGGAATATTAAATTGGTTGAGACAAATGATTGCTTTTTTAATGACATTTCACAAGATATAGAAAGGATAGTCATGTTGTTTTCATACCTAAAAGAACCACGCACAAAATATTTTAAATAAATAATTTGTGAAGTGTTGTGGCTGGGTTTAAAAATCAAACTATGTACTAAACAGGTGGGAAAAGCAGAAAGGAAAGAAAGTGAAATTATTTGCTGTATTAATAGTTAAAAATGAAAGGAAGAGAATTAAAAAATTGGAATGAAAAATAATAGAAACAGCAAGGCAACTTAAATGTTCCCTTGTTCCTTGATCTGGAAACCTCCCCAGCTTTATAGATAAAATTTTATTTGTGATACTGAAACATTGCAGTCTTGTATCACTTTTTATTCTCCACTGTTATCTGATGATATCTATTTGTCAGATTTCTGTTGTGCATTATTTTTTCTTTCATAATTTTTTTCTGATTTCTACTTATTGTTTCTTTATATACATAAAAATGATTATATATATTTCTAGATATGTGATATGTAGTTCTGTTATATATGTTATATATATTTCTTTTATATGCATATTGTTATATCAATTTATTTTCTGAATGCACAATATTTGTCTACATACTCCACATATATTTTTCCATAGACAATTTCTCAGTATTTGTAGATGTAAATGTAATATTATGTATGGAAATTAAATGTAATTGTGTAAATAGATATGATTCTTCTATGAACGCTACATACACAGATATTTTGACTGTAATTTGCAGTCATTTAATCATTTATATTTTACCTTAATCTGGCACTCTTGTCCTTGATCTGGGACCTTTCCTGGGCCACCATTCCCAATGAGTTACAATGAAACTGATATTTGGCTAGATTGTAGTAGAATTTTCTTAGCCAAATAGACACTGTGATGTTCCTATAGATATCAAGTATGTAATGGTTATTACATGTTAATGCATGTAATGGTTGTTGTTATAGGCAAATTAAAATTCGTCGTGTGCATTTGCACAACTGTGATTTGCTTCTCTATTACTTGTAACTCCTTGGTCAAGAGACGGAAAATATGTTTCATTCAAAAACTGCTAAATAATTTATTGGTTTAAATGTGGACAGGAGAGTGCCAAATTGACAGAGGTATTTTAAAAATGTCTGGATTTATATGCAGTAATATTTTTTTTGTTACTCTACGAGCTTGGTGATCCCTAGGACATATTTGAGAACAATGAAGTTTCAAGGCTAGAAAGCAGTGTGAGCTTAGAGATGACAGATCAATAATTTATTTATGGACTAATTGGAGGTGGAAGGCAGGGTCCCTGCTGCAGAAGGGCAGTGTGAAGGGAAGCGGGCACTAATGGCCTTTGCCACCTGCCCTGCAGAGCAGCGCTGTGCCTGTCAATCCGCTCTCCACGTGGAACTGCCCAAATAAAGTCACCCTGCTAAATTTCTTCTGGGGGTTGTAGAAAACCTGCAGCGAGCTTCTCTTCTTGAATGACAGAAATAAAAACAGGGCACAAGCAGAAAGCAAACTGAATCTCTTGGCTTTTCTAGCTGCTTCTTCCATTGACCTTTTGGGGAAACTAATGTTTCTAACTCCTATGAAAGGAGAAGAGGGTAGAGATTGTTTTCATTATAGAAACAATTAAAGTTCTTACACACAAAACTTGATTATGGTTTAGCCATGTGATTGATTAATAACAAAATCCCTACCTAGAGAAATAAACTCAATTTGTTAATAGAAATGGTATCTTACACCTTTTAAAAAGCCTTCATGCATCACATTTTAAATGCGATTAACATTTAAAAATAATAAAAGACTAATGTTGCTATTGTACAATTATTCTATTTACTTTAAATAAACATGTTAGAAATATATTTTTCTCTTACAGGCCTGAACTGAAATTGAGAATGTTTTTTCAAAGAGTTCCCCATTCTGCGAAGTAATTTTGTCCTAGAATATGACATGGTTTAATGCCAGTCTTGCCCCGGTGGGTCTCTTTGATCTTTATTCTATTCATGGGAAAACTGTGAACTCAATATATTGATTTTTTTATGTGAAAAATCAAAGCCATTGCTCACATTGGATTTTGAGTTGGCTCTTTTAGCCTGTGCTTTAACTACCAACAATGAGACCTTTACAAATTTTTTGTAATACATATGTACCACAATGCACACTGTTTATATGAATTCTTTTTGGAGTACAGTCTTACACCTCCCAGTTAGAAGCTCTAGACAGTATATTTGTTGTAGGCAATGTGGTTCCCTTGATTTTGAGGGAAGCTCACTGGAAAAGAAAAGCACACCAGGTATTTATGGAATGTTCATTACCATACAAACCTTATCTCCAGCTGACTCTATTTTTATTACTCCTGGAAGGCTGAACCACACAAATAAACAATGAAAAAAACAATGATTTTTAATAATTTCTCTTACATCTAGAAACCAGATTGGACCCACAGGGATAGTGCCCGTCCATCTTCTATTTCTTATTATTCTTATTCCTGTTTTACTCTGTATCATATTCCATTAAAAATATGGTATATTTTAATTGTCATTTAGTAATGTTCCAGCATCTGGCATGAGGCCTTTATTTTTATTATTATTTTTTCTTTGTCACCAAGGGAATGTAAAATGAAGTGCCTTGTTTTGGTAGAGCTTTTTTATTTACTGTTTTCCTTTGGCAGATGGGATTTATGCATCTATAGTCTGCATGGCATGTGAGGTGGTGTCCGGTTTATCTCGGCTGTTTGAGGGGCCTGGAAAGGCCCGAGGTGGCCTTGGGGCAGCCCGCGTATCGAAGGACGAGAAGAGGCTTCAGTTCTTCTTTCGGTTTTTATGTTTATTAATTGTTTATCTAAAAGATGTTCTTTCAGCCGAACAGAGATCTGCTCAGCAGTCAGCCATGAGCACACTGTCTGCCCTCACGGGCAGCCACGTATCTTTATACCCATTGTTACGTATACAATATTTATCATTTTTCCCCAATACCATCTATTCTTATAACTCTGTGTACTCTCAGTAATAACCAATCCAAAGGTGCCACCGTGGCCAAAGAAGATGGAGGAGTAGAGGAAGAAGAAGGAGGGCAGGACACACCCCAATTCCTCCATCTTACTCCTCTAAACCCCCCTGTACATAAATCCTAAACCCTGTTTCTCACCCTCTAATTAGCTAATCCCTTCACCATTCATCCCGGTGAAGCCCTCATCCTTGTCGCCTCCTGTGTAGGGTCAAAGTCCAGCCACCAGACACTTCTGGCAACATTCCAGGACTCCCGAGCCCCCCAAGGTGGTCTCGGTGGCTCAGCATCTCAGGACTGAGATCTTGAGATCCGACAAGGTGGCAAGTCAAGGAAGCAAGCCTTGCACTTGGAATGAGGTCTGTACTGTCTCAGCTGTAACAGGGGAATGCATTCTGTTGTTTTGGCCAGGGGAATGCATTCTGTTGTTTTGGAAGGCCAAAGGGGGCAGAATACTGCTATCCATGTAATTGCAGAAATGCATTCAATCTGTATGAAATACAAATATGTATTTCTTTCCACTAGAGAAGTCTTTAGGTATTACACACCAGACCTGACAAAATTTAGGTTTCTGCAGTTGTCCATGTGCAGTATTTTGTGTATTGCCTCTTGCCCCTTTGGATTTTCCCGGTTTAGGCTCCTCTTTACAGCCCAAATGACCAGGATGATACAAACAAGCTGAAATGTGGTCTGGTGCTCCAGGTTTCACCTCTAATATGTTCTGATTTTCTAATGTGAAACAGTATTTCAGTGAAGGTGCTTCCAGAGAGAGGTTATGGACTTTGCATGAAAAGTGCCTGCATGATTTCAACCTGTAAAAAAACCCCAAAAATAATCTGCAAATATAGGTGGTCTTGAACAATTATTAACTTTAATAGTGTCCTGCTATTTGCTTACTGATAATCTGTATTTGTGACTGTCCAAGAGAACTGAAATAATTATAAAATCACATTTGTTTTGCAGCATGTCCTGGTAGGTATTTTCAGCTTTTTGGGCACTTTTCATATCATAGACAACTTACATGTGTAATCTAATTCCATTTCAAATAGTAGAAGTTTTATTTGGGGTTATAGTTACTTCCTTTTATAGGAACTTGGAGGTTTTATAATAAAGAGAAAAAGGAGAAACTTAATTTTCACAGCACATGTATAAATTAACATACTTTATATAAGCCTGAAAATTCTTTCTACCCCAAAATTTTCTATTTTTCTCTTTCTATATAATTTTATTTTTGAGGGAATTTTTTCCTTCCATTTGCTATATCAATGAGAGTAAAGGTTTAAAGAAGATATAAAATACTATTTACCAAACTATGTTATGCATTTAGGCAGCATTAGGTACCCAGATTGCTTCTACCAGATTCAGATATTTCAAACTGTGATTTAAGGTATATTTTCTGCAGTTTTGACCTTGAGCAATAGTAAAAATAAATTCAGTGTAAACAGAAATTTTCCCCAGATGGATTATGCAGAATTGCCAAAGGGATGTGGCTGCAAAAGCCACCATTCCTGCAGGTAATTTTTGAGAGATATATAGACCATAAAATATTTGCTACATCATTTACTTTTAACAACAGAATCGAAGAGTGTAGGACTGGATAGGCCTTTTAACTCACAGAACCGTGCCCCTTTTCCTGCTGCAAATATATTAGAAATGTATTGTATATTCATTTGCTGTATTTTTGAGGCCAGAGCTCTTGAGTCATAGTACATTTTCTTTTGGTGACAGGTAAGCAGCTTGGTGGCATTTCAAAGATGAAATGCTCTAATGAAACACCCTGGAAGCTGATGAGGAGACTTATACAACAACGCTTCTTCCTCCAAGCACATGAGAAATTGCACCCTGCTTTGGAGAGCTAAGCAGGCTTTGATACAAGGGAAGCTGCATGAAGTGAGCTGGATCCCACCACATTATATATATGCAACATTTCTGTTTGTAAGATAACATTTCTGTTTGTAAGATAAGATATGTGAAAATACTGTGGAAAACCTTTATCTTCTCTGATTACTGAAAAGTAAGTTTTGTAATGTGAAGCTGAACTTTCCTAACATATGCTGGTGTCTGTGTAATGGTGTATTGAATTAAAATGCAATGGATTTTGTCATCCCCAAAGCATCTTGCTAGCAGGGGTTAAAGCCGGCAGTAAGTTCAACAGTTTATGGAAAAAAGTTTCTTGGCAGTGCTTTAGAAGCCTGTGCCAGAATGGTGTGATGAAATTGGACACAAATTTAAGTGACATATCACTGTTTTATGATGTTTACATTACTGTTTACTTTCACCAAGCAATTGTCCAGACCCTGATGTTCACCCCACATTTCCATTACCATTATTAGCTAGCCTGTATCTGGAATTGATGGGGGTCTTGTTTGGAGCTGCTTTTTACCTTGCCTTATGAAGAAAAGTGTGCCTAGCATCAAAGCCTTCTGTGGAATGAAGTTTTCTGGTAAGTTCTACTTTCTTATCAATGTTTCACATGTCAATGATTGGTATCAATAATTACTATAATAGCCTAAGAGAGCCTGCTAATGGTGCTGCAGGGATACAGAGCAGAGCCCTATGAGAGGGAACAACTGTAGCTTTGCCATTTTTGTGACAAAGAAGAATACACTATAGGAATTGAGGAGTGGAAATCTTTTATATTACTATTTTAAATTTGAAGAATGGAAAGAACTACACCTGTTTAAATGTAAATTATTGTACTTTTTGAAATCCCTTGTTATGGATTAAAATTTCCAGAGAAAACTGAATCTTCAAAGCTTGCTGTCTTGCAGATTTATTATGGTTCTTAAAGGGAAGATAAATAATAATTCTTAGAGCAGAAAAAGTTAAGACTGCTTACACATGCACATAGTTGTATTAAGGCTCAAATTGCATTCTGTGCATTCAAGGTTATTTGGGCTGCAGGTTATTATGTTCAGTTTAGCTGTTACTGGTAGAACAATTATATTTTAGGTTTTATGTTTATACTTGTTTTTAAAGGATTAAATTAAAGCTGCAATTGAAGGGATGAAAGTCACCTGGCTGCCTCCCCTCATATAATTAATTAAAATTGAACTTTGAGGTTAAAACTTATTAATAAAATGTAAAATGTAAAATTATGCTACCCTGGAAAAAACAAATGTGCTGTGCCAAAAAGTCCATTAGTAGAGTTTCTTATTTTCTCCTGAAATCCTTGGTGTTCAAAGGACATTCAGTAAGAAGCAAATCTGGACAGAGGACTTTGATTTATGATGCAGTAAGAGCTGTAGTTTCCAGCTATGATCCTGTAGCCTCCTTCTGTTTTCACATAATTTGATTACATTTCCTTCAGTGGTTTTATGGGATATTAAAGGTGAGAGGAAGAAATAAGCAAATACACAAACCTGAGTCCTTAGAAAACAATAGAGCATCCCAGTTTTTATTTTGATTTCTGCCATTCTTCTTTCACAACAGTCACACATCAAGTGCTCCAAGATTCAGTACATCAGAGCACACAGCAGCATTCATGTCCAATGAATCTTAGTACACAGCACTGAGAAAGAGGTACTATCCTCAGGCTGATAATTTAAAATTTGAGCTGCTGTTTTCTCAGAGTGGTGGACTTTCAAATTGTTTCTTCTACAGCTTCTGAACAATTTTTGCAGACAAAAGATAAAATATAGGAAGTATCCAGGATACTGGAGCAGCCTTGATAACCCAGTTTAAAATGTTGCCCTATAGCCAATTAGCTTTTAATTTTCTCCTTCACAATGTGTGATACTTCATCTACAGTCATTGCAAATCCATTTTTGTTTTATATATTATAGACTTTTCTTTTATAAGTTAAATTAAATGGAATTTATTGTACTTTCAACCATGTTGTTGAATTAAATCTTTTTGGAATGGGTAAAAATACCAGGTGTTGTTTTTCTACCTAATCATTTAATAATATCCATCTTTAAATTTAGTCTCTTGTATGTTCGTATTCTAACAAACTTGAACCAAACTAGCTCAGTCTTTTTCTCTGGTACAAGATGCTGTTTTTTCTTTTTACAATGCCATTTATCATTCTTTTTGCCTGACTGGAGTGTGAGCCATCTGAAATCATACTTCTTATTATAGGACTATTAATACTTCTAAAAACCTTTTTCCCAAGGACCCTGTCAGAAGGCATTTCAAGGTCCCAAGGGATTGTATCTGCTTGTTTCTTTTTGTGCATCCCGTCTTAGGGTTCTGCAAAAAGAATGCCTTTATTTATAGAATGCCCGTGCAATGAAATTGCTTTATGTCTGTTGCCTGGTATTTTCACATTTTGCTGTGTGACTGTTGTTCACGTTCTTAGTATGAAGCAAGTAACTTTTTCTAAATTTGAAACTCTTTAAATTCCTGCTATACCATTTTGCAAACAACTAGAGTAAATGCACTGCACAATTGTCTGGAGTCAGGGATGTGACATCACACTGATTCTGCTTAACTGATTCACTACTGTTATATTTTAACTTTTGATCCATACTTTTCTACCACAAAATTTTTAAAATGTATTAAAGATTTTTTAACATTTATTTTTTTGTCTAACAAGCTTTGATCTGTTCTATTTCAATCTTTTATGTTCATTACTTCAAAAGGTAATTTCATGATATCAAATCTACTTATGGACCCAACTGTGAGATGCTTAGCTGCCTGACAAGGTTAACCCACAATATATGGAAATTTGATATATTGGTTCTGTAAGGCTTGTTTTGCTCTGATAAGCAAAACTCTTGCTACATCTGCAGAGTTAGTAGGGCAGGCTTCCTTTATCATCCCAGCAACATTTTAGTCCTGGAGAGGAGGTGTTGGCTTTTCTTGCAGATTAGCAGCTGTGTTTTGACCAAGGTTATTTCTGTCCTCCAGCCAATAGTCAGAAATAAAATGTGTTTGCGTAAAAGATTTAAGCAGGAGTCAGTCTATCTTTAGTGGTTGCTTGACACTTGTTGTCTTCAAATGATTTTGTTTAAAGCTGTTAACCAAGAGCTTTTCATATTTCAGGTCTGATTTGATGTTGTTAAAGTCACCGCAGAATCCACTGACCTAACTCAATGATCTTATGTCCCCTATCAACTCACTCCAAAAAAATTTTGAAAAACTTCTGTGTTTTTGGTGGATTTTATTTTATTTTTTTTGTTGTTGTTTTTTCCAAGTGCTGCAATCTGCGCTCTCAAAGCTAATAAAACTGAAATAGCTGGTATGGGGATTTTATCCAAGTCCTGGCAGCTGAAAACTGATGAAGGCCTTCTGATTTCATGTTTACCAAACCATGCCACTTAAATGCAGAAGTACCAAAAGGATCTTGAGTGTGCTGGGGCTTTTACACAACTGAAAGCCTAATTCAGAACTCATTAAACCAAGAGAATTATATACTGATTTTGGTAACCTGTAGTAAACTTCATTAGCAAAAAACCTGCTCTGCAGCATTTAAGGGAACAGAAGTTTAAACTGTATATAACACAACCAAGAGTGCAAGACAATTGAAAAAGTGTTCAAAAGAAAGCAGAAAAGAGAGGATGAAGTTTCAAAACGATGTGTAAATCCATGGCCTGGATGAGAGAGAGAGAAGTACAGCTTCGTGTGCCAGAAGCTGCGGAGGAAGCGCTGTTTGCACCAACAGGGAGCAGACTGTGTGCACATACTGCTTCAGGAAAACAGACACCAAGGAGCCCTCAAAGACCATTCTCTACAGGAACGAGCCCTCCTTTGCAGCCCAATGGCTCTTGAGCTATCAGACTTTGAATTCAAGACTCAGTTTTTAGGAGCAGTGTTAGTTTTATGTAATCCTGTCAGGTTTTAAACTGTATCATTATTTCAGAAGCAGTGCCTGAAGGGCACATTATTTCTTAAAAAGAAAAACAAAACTTCTCCTCTCCTCACCTAGGTAAGACAAATCAACAGTTAGTGTGTTTTTATTTTCTTAGATAATTTGTGAATATTTATTTCTGCTGAGGTTTCAAAGTTTTATTCCAATGTGTTTATAGCTGACACATTTTCTAAGTCACAGGATCATGTTTTCTCCTTTTTGCAGTTTAATTTTTTGGTTGTTGTTGTTGTTCACAGTTCTTCCACCAGCTCCTTTTATATACTACTGAGTAATCTGCAACCATTTTGGGGGAACTGACTTGCACCAAGATTATGGGCTGTGAGCAGGGGTGTAAAAATTGAAGCTTAAGCTTAAAGCTGGAATAATTCAGGCAATTGCAGCTGCATGCAGATGAGCAGGCACAGCCTTTGAAAACGTAAGGAAAAAAAAAGGTTGTGTGGAGACAAGTAAGTAATCAAAAGCCTGCTGGTTCCATTCTGATATGACAAGTGCTAAAAGTTCACCACTGGTGTAGAGCTGAATTTTATGTGTTGCTTCGAGGCATCACAAAGTTTCACAGTCGGGACAAGTTGACTTGTGCCTTGTTATTTTAGATGTCAGCGGGTTTAGTTGTTTCTCCATTGATTATGGCAGTGTAGAGACCCTTCTGCAGTCTCTAGTCATACTTCAAGTGATAGTTTCTACTGACAGCAGAAGTTTGCTCTTTTGTCAGCTGTTTTAAGAACTGGGAAAGTCTGCGCTCTTGCGCTGAAACATTCTGTTTTATTTTTTAAAAGAAAAGGTATTAAACAGGGTCATAGGTAGGTTTGTTTTATTTTCTTCTTTTAGTTTTGCCTCTACGTAGTAAAAATATGCAAAGAATAGATCAATTGAGCATCTTTCAAAGTACAGTGGCTGAGTAATTAAAATGGGACGCTGGGTTGTAAAGCATCTTTTGATTACCATTGTCTAAACTAGATTGGTGGCAAAGTCAGCTTTTTTCCCTCATTTCCCAATTCTTCATTTATATGCGTGAGCTCCCAAGATGACCTCGTTGCAAGTAAACAGTGTGAGGTGCTCAGATGTTATACAACCAAGGGTACAATACTGTATATGTCAGCTGTATCTATATATGTCAACTCCTTCGAAATTCTAAGAAACATCCAGGCGTGTTTGTTATGCATGTGTAGACAGTAACACAGGATTTTTAAATAGTAAAAAATACTTGTTTCTCACAAGGCAATGAATAAGACTGAGAAATGCTTCAAAGTGATGTTTTAGTGTTGGCATCTGCAGTATAAAAACGGTCTGGAAAGATGATAAAGTATATTGGTTCTGAAAAAACACTCCTATGATGGGGTATAGAAAGGAAATCCAGCTAATTTTGAGTAAAAAGTTGAAAGGAAAATATGCTTTAAGACAACTTAAGGAAAAGAAATATTACAGATCATTAACAATAATAGCTGTTAGGAATGGAAATGTCCAGAACAACTGGATATGCTGTGTTTAACAGTTTTAAATACCTTTTTGTTCATTATGAGATTCTGCTAAACTGCATCCTGTTGAAGCAGCACTTACAAAAAAAGGCAGACCTCTGTCTCTATGTGCTGCAATTGTTCATCTGTCTCATGGTTTACCATCAAAGCCTGAGAATGTGCAAAAGCATTTCTAGAAGCTGTTCTAGAGCTGACCAAGTCACTTGTTGTTGTCCTGTTTCAAAACTTTGTGCTACATTGCACTATATGTAAGCAGCTTCTTCTCTGTGGACACAATAGATGAGATCTAGTTAGCAGTAGATTCAAAACTGATGACTAAAATAATTAAGAATACTGGGTGCATGTTAAATACCAATTTGAATTAAATTTAACTGAAAAATACGCATGTCAGTAATTGAAAATTGTCTAAATTTGTTTAAAATAAAGAACCTAGAAATGAATGATAGAAGGGCAAAAAAAAGTCTTAGAAATTATGTTCTCTGATTGTTTTTCACTGTGTTCTATCATAAACTATTAGACTAATACAGAAGAACCTGGAATACATGCTCAACAGAAAAAAAGGACAGATTTCTTTCTAAGTACTAACTCCTGGGGAAATATATTTACAGATTTTAGTGAAGTACAGTTACATTTTCCAGATGTTTTATTGAAATACATTTAGATGTAAGATAAATCATAGGCTGTGGAATGAAATCAAGGTCTATAAATCAAAAAAGAGAAAATCAGTCTCTCCAACAGCATAGTTTCTAATGGTCTTTTCTTTTTAAATTATAAATCCACCAAATTTAAATATTTATGAACTTCATATCTAAAAATAATTCCCTGGCCTTGCCTGTCATCTTGCTGAACTCTGTGATAAAGACAGATACTCTTTGGCTCTATTACCCTCTTGATTATTTGTCCTGGATAGATGATAAAATAACAAATTTCAGAATGGATGAAAGCCAGCTATATGTTCCATATAACATATGTTACATGTTACAGTAGTAAAATGCGTATCCAAAGCCTGATGGCTGCAGTTTGAAATGATTTAATAAAAAACAGTTAGACTTTAAAAGCCTCCTTTTAGGTAAGAAAAAAATCTAAACCCCCCCCCTGTGGTTTTCTTAGCTACATTTATCACAGTTTATTAGTGTTACAAAAACTAGGTAAAATTATGCTTACCAATTATTGCTGTCTCTGAGGCCATCTACAAAGTTGGTTGAGAGACCTGAATTATGTAATTTCCTTATGTTTATTTTATGACTAAGATTTCTACTCTATTCTGGTATTTGACTTGTACTTTGGTGCTCTTTCCATCTTTATTTTCTAGGCATTTAGCCCTTTACCTTGTTAGAAAGGGCCAAACATTGAGTGGGTATGGTCATTCCCAGTACATCCAAGTTAAAAACAGATTGGGCATAAAGTGAGGTTCTGGGGTAGGACTCAAGATTTGCTCTCTTTCCAACTCAAGGTTTCAAAGTGTTTACAGTGTTTTTTAAAGTTGTGCTGTAATGCGTGGTCCACTCCCTTCTTGATTGAAAATGTTAGATTCAATCCTAATTAATGTTCTTTTTCCTCTCTGAGCCATCCAAAAGGGAAAGTATTAGAAACAGTGGGATCCAGCTGGGTCCCTTCTCTCATTCATGCCAGCAAAGCTGCTGCAAGTCAAGCAATAGGCTGAATAGGTTGTGTTCTTTCAGAACATGCAGTCCTTTCATAGCTAGAGAGATTGTTTTTTTTGTATTATTTTAACATCTTTGGAAATGTAAGGATTGCAGTAGTAGATTAAGAAGAAAGCAAAGATGGGGCAACTGTCTCAGTGGTTCATGGTGAGATTTTTAGGCATGCTGTTGGTAGAAATGTGAATAACAGCTCGTTTTGGCAGTAAAGAAGCAGAATGCACTAAATATGACAGGTCAGGCTCAAGGCTCTGGAGCTGGGCAATATTAGCAGTCTGGCATTTCTTTTAAGCTTAATTCTTAGTACAATTGCATTGGTTGCTTTTGCCTTTGTTTAATCCTATTTTTATATCAAATCCTGTTGGTAAGCCTGAAGCTTTTGTGTTTGCTTTTGCATTTTTACTAATTGGTGTCTGCCTTCAACATATGCTGTCACATTTTAAATGCATATCTTTGACTTTAAAAAGTCAAATGAAAGAAAACTTCAATGAATTACTCACTGTAGAGAATTCTATGTATTCCAAGTGTTATACCATAGACAACGCTTGTCATATTTGCCTTTTCCTTATTATTTGAATTCAGAAATCATATACAAAAAAAACTGTTGTCCTTTCTTATTGGAAAAGCTTTTTAGTCTTTTACAAGCAATACAGCTTTATTTCCAAGCTTAATTTGGGTTTAAATAGGAACAGTCCTCTGTGGTTTTGATTTTTTTCCTGCTGTCAAGTAATTTTCTAAAGAACCCGACGGGTACATGTTGAACATTCAGATCTGAAGATTGGTAGAGCTATTTTTAAGAGAACTTTATTTTCTTTAGATTTTATTGGTAAAAGCTTGGATTTTGGTTTATGAAACCTCGGAGATTTGAGTAACAGCATTAAAAAGGCATCCAGCATGAAAATGCAAGTGCTTATTCCCTTGAAACATAACATAACATAACATTCCCTTGAAAGATAACATTTTAATTTTCTTTTAAAATCTTGTCCTTCTAGACGTAAAATAATAAATGGAAAATTATTTTCCTCCTTCACTTATGATGTCCCTCACAATAACAGAATTTTTTACTGTAGGATTGCAAATCAGAAGGGACAAACATTTGACGGTAATCAATTATGTCTTCATCTTGGTATTAGTTTATTTTGTTGGTTTCAAATTTTCTCATGCAAGGAAAAATAAATATGAACACCCTGAGATCAAACAAACATCATGATTTTTATCAATTTCATGAGAAATGAGAAAAGACAATAATCCTAGAAAAAGATATTTTGACCAAAGTAATGAAAAGTACACTTATCTGAAAGGAATTTAAATGTCTTGTGGTTCTAATCAGTTACTTTTCCAGTAAAGATGTTTTCAGAAGAGGATGGGTGTGTCCAATACAGTGATTTTCTAGTCTTTCCAGGGCTTATGGAACAGATAAATATTCTCCTAGCATGTTATACTCACTTATTTCATCTGGCATCCAAGTGTGATTGGAAAATGCCTATTTGCATTTTCCAATCACACTGTGAAGGTGCGTGGTATTTTGCAATGATTAGTTCTTTTCCAGGTAAATGTGCTGAATGCAAAAACAAGCATTCACATCTGTGATTGTTTATCAATGTTAAACAGGAGATTTTTATTGTTTAGGGAGTCCTAACTTTCTCTTTAATTGACAGGAAGAACAAATTTGATTAAAGTGACCATCTGTGATTTCTTGTACCTGTATGAGCCCGGAAGGTCTCCTGAGATGCAGGTATGTCTCCTGTCTGGTTTATGTGTTCTCCAACCAGAATTCATCACCCAGATGAGAGTACGTGTAAAAACCAGAAATATGCAGGTAGCAGCAACACCACAGCAGCCCTGCACACTCATTTCTTTCTCATATTCACTGAATAAGACCAAGCTTTGAGGCTAAACCCTGTGCAATGCATACATAGAGTCCTCTACAGCCAAAGCCATGTCTGCTCTGTGTTTGTACGTGCTCTAAATGAGCACTTTTCTCTTAAAGCTGTGTCATGACCAAAATTTATCTCTTGCACTGACAAAAAAAGGTTTTATTTGATGGAAACACTGGGTTCAGACCTACAGTATATGTGTCTGATTGCAAAGTAGCTCTATTTTTAAGCTGAACTCTAAGGAATATTTTCTTGGTTGATTTATGCCACAAATGCAATAGTTGAGATTTGAATCGGACTTCAAAAAGAGAAAATGTTAGAATAATAATGTGCAACTATTCTTAGTTAAAATATCGAGCACTTACAAATTAATTTTAAATTTCTTGATACAGAAATCCGTTCATCTACTTCTTATACCAAATATGCAAAATTTAATAACCCAACAGCACATTCATTGAATCAAAGATTAATAATATTTTAACATGAAAGACTTTGGACTGGAATCAAAGAACATTAGTCACTTTGAAAACTTCATGTCAACTTATGAACAGGTAATTTAAATTTGCATAAATATAAATTATGTATGTGCTTATAGATATATATTTATATTAAGAAACAGATTCTTTAAGAGTGTACTTACCAGTAGTTCTTTGAGTAAATGCATCAACATTTCAAATTACTTATAAAACAAGAAATCTCAATCTCAGATGCATCCTAGTGAACTTGTTCTCATATACATCTCCAAAGAGATTAAAATTTTCTGAGTTAATTAATGACACAACATTGTGATAAGAAAGCATTTTTGAGCTGATGTGTGTGGGAAAGCTGGTTTCACATTCTGGCCCTAAAGCTGTCCCTGCCCTGGGGTGAGTTAGCAGTGACCTTAGTGTCTGGGGCTGGCAAGTGCATCTGCCTTCCCTCAGCACTCAGCATTCCCTCTTGTGCTCCGAGACTCTGCAGCAGTTTTTGCCAGTATTCAGGGTGCTGACACAGCGCCAGGGGAAGCTTTAGTGCAAGAGCAAGAAAAGATGTGCTGGAGCTATACCAGGGAAGGTGGTAGCTATTGGTGGATTTCCATGAGAGTTAAGGTTGTCAGGTTAAGCATGTGGTTATACAGACTTTTCTTCCTCGGTGGAGTTCTCTTGGCACGATCATTTGGGTCACAAACTGGAACCCTGGAACTAGCTAAGGAGTGCAGATAGAGAGCTAAGGAGCTGCCTGGGACACCCCTGAGAGGTTGTGAACTGCATTGGGAGGGCTGGTGGCACTGCTGCCCTCAGGGAGGACTCGGCCTCACCTTCGGGGCAGCACAGACAATGTGCTGTCATCACACAAATCGTCTGTGTTAAAAGTCTGCCTCATTGAAAGTCTTTCCCTCTGACATTTCTTCCTTATATTTGCTTGTATAAAACTGGCCAGAGAGAACCCTCTGTTGGTTCATAACTCTGCACTTATCAGCTTGACATGGGGCTGATGCCGCAGGCACTCTTCCTATGGAGGAAGTCAGCTGCAAAATTCACCATTTGTTGCAAAGCAACCCTTTTATTGAGAGTCATTCTTCTAAATAAAAAGAGAAAGTTTCTACTCTTCAGCCATGCAGGTAAACAACTGACAACATAGAAATGAAACATCACAATTCAAAGGCTGCTAATGCTTTCCAAGCTGTTATGACATTACCTGTCAAATTTAAAAGCAAAAAGAACTTTATAAGAGAAATACCTGCTAATGGATATGAAGCATGGAAGGATGTTCTATTTCTGTATTTAACAATGTTTTAAGTAATTTTAGAGACTACTTGTACAGATATGAACTTATGGGTTAAACCTATAGAAAACCAATTAATGGTGCCTAAACCAGAGTAGTTTTTTAAATCCAACTCATAAGGGTCAGGAGATCATGTGAGCTAATAAAGCAGGTTATACAGTGCATGAATGGCAGAAAAAACTCCGTGGATTCTTGCCTTATATGTCAAACATTACTGGTGTTTTCTTTATCATTTTAGTTTTCCCATCGTTTCTTCTGATCTTCTGCTTAATTTTTTTCTTAATTTTTTAAGGTCCTATGGTGTCTGCTGCTTGAAAGCTTTAGGTGTTAAATTATTAAAATAATAAGCCGAAAATTCATACTAATTTTTTCAGGGAAATTGAAATTGCCTTTGAAATTGAAGTGGCAGTTTTTGTAGGCAAATTTTTTTCATCTGATACACATTCACATATATGCATATTTGTGTATATGTAAACTAGTCACATTTTTTTTTGTCTGCATAGTCCCACCCCCCACAATCAACTTTATTTTCTGAATATTAATACAAATTGCATAACTATTACAGCGACCTTAGACAGTCACTGTGGTGAGAGAAGGACGAGAATCTTATTTCTTGATCAGAAGGCTGATTTATTGATATAAGATATATAATACATTATAACTATACTAAAAAGAATAAGAAGAGAAGTTGCAGAGAGCTGCTCAGCTAAGAATAGAATAGCAAGAATGCATAACAAAGTTCTTTGCCCAGGGAATCTGTCCCTGAGCTGCTCCTGTGATTGGCCTTTAATGGTACACAAGGAAGATGAGCCAATCACAAAGACACCTGCTACATTTCACAACAGCTGATAACAATTGTTTACATTCTTCTTCTGGGGCCCTTTGCTTCCCAGAAGAAGGAGAAATCCCAAAGAAAGGATTTCTATGAAGAAATGTCTGCGACACATAACAACTTCATTTTCATTACAGAATGCTATTCTGCAGCATGAGCAGTATCCAAATGGTGGTTTGATTAATATTCCCATTTCTTAACCTCTTGGAGAGAAAAACAAAAAACTTCCAAATGCTAAAAGGATTTTGTAACTTGCAGCTTAATGGCCTCTGGAATTGCTTTTTTTTTTTGTTTTTTCCTATTAAAAATGTAAGAAGCTCATAGGTCATTGTGTAACTGAAGGTCAGTGTGACTGAGTGATGGCTACAAGCTATTCTGCTATACACTGCCACCACAAAAAGACAAGTACCAATCTGTGCTTGGACTTTTCAAGGTCCATTTGTATTAGTAGGTACTTTATTCAAGCTGGAACCAGAGGAAAGAACAAAGAATAGAGAGATAAGCATGTGTTGAAGAGGATGGTATCCTGCTTTTTAATAAGCAGTTTCTGAAGTAATTCCTGAGCTGTTTATGAAATTAAATGTGCTTGGGAGCAGCAGACATAGGCTGCTTTGCAAGGGGGGACAAGTTGGGAGTCGAAGGTGACACTAAGGCAGATTTTCTTGCTTGAAATCTAGCTATTTTTAGAAGTTCTTCATAGTAGAAATGAATAAGAGTGACCTGACTGCAGGGGAGTTGTGAAGATTGCATGAGAGAGATGCACATAAAGTATTTTCTTGTGCAGTATCAGTTTTAGTTTTAGCTTTTTGCTTTTGGTGATGGCTATTCATGCTACTAACACAAGCAAGTTCCAGCAAGGCTTGTCACTGCAGAAATCACACACACCTGAAATTAGATGGGATTTCTGTTTGGGCATGTCATTTTTTACTTAAAAGGACACCCCATCAACCATAAATGATAGATTGGTTTGGGTTGGAAGGGACCTTAAAGATCATCCAGCTCTGTTATCCTGGCTATGGGATCCCTTCTGCTAGGCCAGATTGCACAGAAGTGAGACGCATTGTCTATTTCTTTGTGGGTTTTGTGTGTGGCTTTTTTTTAAAAATTATTTTTCATATGACTTTTACCAACATTTGAGAGAAGTAGAGAACTTAATTTTAATCATAAAGATCCTGTTTATTATCTGTTATTGTATTAGTGCAATTTTAATCATATTTGCTTGAAGGAATAAGGCTATTCTAATATCATCTTTTATTTCAATGTGTTAAAATGTGCTTCATGGACAAAGTCTGGTGTTTGAAAACATTCTTTAAGTACCTGTGTATGCAAATGAAGTAATTAATGTGCGATTGAATATTCATATATCTTTTTGATCTAGCTTTAGTGGACTAAAGGAAGATGAATTACTAAATATCTCACTGGTAAAATGAAACTGCCCCCTTTCAAAGCTCATATGTTTTTTACCAATCACATTATTTTCCAAAGGCTTCATTGTGTGATTTGTTTGGGATTTTTTTAATGATGGTTGGTACATTTCCTTCCCTTCTCCATTCTTCCACCCCTATCCTTGCCCTTTCCAGCCCTCACCTCAGGGGAGTGAGAGACTGATATGCAACCAATTTTGTTTACCAAACCAGATGATTTTTAGCTAACTTTTTTGACATACCTAATAAGATAACGTGGACTTTTTTTTTCCTGTGATATTTCTGATATAGAAAATGATTTATTTTAATTTGCATGTCATTAAAATATTTTACTAATTTGAATGAAAATTAGTTTGCAGAGAGCCAAGGGGCAGCTTCTTCTAGGTGGGCATACGTAAAATACAAATTGGAGTAGAGTGAACATTTAGGAAAAGTACTGAAAAATCTTGGCTTTGCTACCTGGGATATTCCTAGAGACTGTTATAAACTGCCTTCTATCTATGTATCTATGTTGACTATGTATACATCATATATTGGTATGTCTGCTTCTTTTTAAAACGTGACTTCTAGTAGTTACAGATGCTTATTACAGTGTTGTTTGTCAGCAGTCTTAAGACCCTCCAGAAATAGTGATGAAATGTTTGCTCTGATAAAGCTATTATTTCAAATTACATAAAAACAAAATAATAACAAAACCACCAAAACCCCAAGACAAAAAACAAAAAAACCAAACAAAAACCAAACAACCTCCCCCCCTGCAGAGGGGAGCATATGTGGCCCGAAGTTTAGAGTCCGACTAGCTGAGGGCGAAAGGCCGACGCCCCTCTGCAATTCCTGGCCAGCACCCTTCGGCGTCTGATGGCCTCGGGCTGTGCTGGCGGCGGACTGGCTTACCCCGCTGGTATTTTGGAGGAACGGAGCTGACCATTTCCCGGGGGTTAAA